CATAGATGTGTTAGCTCTACTAAAAGTCTTCCTATATTTTTCGTTTCAATGATAATTTTTATACTATTTTTTCCAGTTTATAAATTAAACTGCTATTGCATTGATGATATGATAACTAAAACTAGTAGATTTGAGTTTCTGGAGTTCTATCCTTCAGATAAATTGGAGTCATTTGTAGACAATTAGTTGCTTCTTCCTCTTGCAAATCCATTTTAATTCTTTTTATGATGATTTACTTACAGGTACGGCAATGCTAATGTTTGGAAGATCTTTACGGACCTATTTGATTATTTTCCATTAACTGCTTTGGTGAGTAGAACTAATATATGAGGTGCAGACTATTTTGATTTGAAACGCAAATTCTATGAAAGAAAGAACTAAGGACATACTTTTTGGTCGTAGCATCTTTGGTACTTTATATTTATGTCTTAGTTCTATTTCATTTGGCTTTGTAGATTAATACTATTCTTGTTCTCCATACTTCTATTATTGTACCAGACTACTAGTATTATATTGGCTTATATTATATTCATTTCTAATTAATTTTTAAGTTTCGAGAACTCTCATTATCTTTTTGGTTGGGCAAGAAAAAGTTGGGATTTCTAGGTTGCTTTGTTTTCTCATCACATGTTTTAGAAAATGATACCAAATCTTTCTGGAATGTCATGGAAGTATCTGGCTGTTTCTTGTATTTAATGGTTATCATGAAATCCAGATAGCCAACTTTATTACTATATTGGTTTAGTCCCGAGTAAAGAGATATATTTCCTTGGTAATTTTCAAGTCAACTTTGTACTTCCTAGAACTCAACTTTGTACTTCCTAAATGAAGGGAAATTATGGTAGTTAAAATGATTTGGTGTTTCCATTAGGTGGAGTCGGAAATATTTTGTCTGCATGGTGGATTGTCTCCTTCAATTGAAACTCTAGATAACATAAGAAACTTTGATCGTGTCCAAGAAGTTCCTCACGAGGGGCCCATGTGTGATTTATTGTGTCTGATCCAGATGATCGATGTGGTGGGGATCTCACCTCGTGGTGCTGGATATACTTTTGGCCAGGTAATTGATGTTCGAAGTGACCATTGTTCGAGTTTTTGTGTCTATCTTGCTTTTTTTTTTTTTCCAGCATTTTAATATCGAAATTTTATGGTCTTCTCTACAGGATATATCTGAACAATTCAATCACACAACAGCTTAAAGTTGATTGCTAGAGCTCATCAGCTGGTTATGGATGGGTTTAACTGGGCACATGTAATCCATTCATGTTTTTTATAAGTTAAATTTTATTATTTTTGCTTTTATACAGGGCATAAAATGCTTTGGGGTTTTTAGTTCCTAATCATTTCCATGTAACAGGAACAAAAGGTGGTGACTATATTTAGTGCCCCTAATTATTGTTACGCTGCGGGAACATGGCTTCGATTTGGAAGTCGATGATTGCAAGAATCACACATTCATCCAGGTCGTTTTCCCCCTCCTCCCCCTTTTCTTTTCGTTTCATTTTGCAAACACATACACAAAATAAGGTAAAACTTAAAGAGCAACAGTACTTTCGAAATTGAATCCCGAATGCCTTTTTTGTTTGTGAAAATTGTCAAGTTAATCTTGCTGCAGTTTGAGCCAGCTCCAAGGAGAGGAGAACCCGATGTTACTCGTAGAACGCCCGATACTTTCTCGAAGAAACTCTGCTATACTGGTTCTAGATACTTCACTTTTCCTCAACTCCTCCCTCCTGTTACACAGTCAGGTAGTCGTCGATCATTTGCCCGAAGTCTCTTGGGCATCTACTACCTGCCAGTTTTTACATTCCATGTTTCACTTTAATTTACTTTTCAATCTTTCTTCCACGACAATGATGAGTACCAAAAACATGTGTATCAGGCTAGGAAGATGGCCTTTAATGTTACACTTGAGTGTTGTGTCGAAAAGATTGCATAGCTGATGAAAGACACCATAAGATTGTAGATTTTTGTGTTGTTTTCAATTTCATGTATCCACTGCCCTCTTATTTGATTCTCGTATCTTTTGGGTTCTGTACCGGATATGCAAAAGTTCTATATTTAGTGGGTGTTTTTAGTAGTATGCAGTGATTACAACATGGTATAAGTTCATAATTTTTCTTGATCATTGATAATTTATACACCCTGCAGACACAATTGTTCGGATTTAGAATCTCAAGGGAAAGCAATATTCCTTTTAATCACTAAGATTAATCTATGTGATCATTAGCGAGTGCTTTCTATGTTATTTGGTCTCGGTTGTGTGTCCATCCTTAGATATGTGTCATGCAAATCTTTATTTGATTATCAAATGATCACTATATTTAGCTACCTTTGTTTCTATTAAGGGAGAGATAAACATCTTAAATTAAAAATAATATCTCATTTTTTTAATTATAATTAGATTTTATCTCAGTATTTTCTAATATTTTTAAATAACAATTTTAACTCATTTGTGATATTTATACATTACTTTAACATGTTATATGTCATATCTTTGATGAAAATTAAAGACACTAACGATATGATAATCTTTTAAGGATCATTTTATAATTTTTAAAACATTAATGATAAAAGAAAATCATTTCAACTTAATATAATGATTATTAGTGCCTTTTATTATTATGTTTTAAAAATAATAAAATTAAATATTCTTACTTTATTTGTATTAATAAAAAAAACTAATTTAATCCGAAGTACTATTTACATTTTCTGTCAAAATCTACTTATTATAAGGTACGCTTATTAAACTTATAATAATTTACTTATGAAATTAATATGATTATAATAGTGTTTTTGATGACAAATTTTGATAAAATACGTTCACGGTGACAGTGATAAATAGAGTAAATTCAAAATACTTAATATTAGTTGTTTATTTAACTAACGATGTGTGCATTGAAAATTTTTTTGTGTCCATTTCATATGAATTTTTTTTATTATTAATGTACATATGTCCGTCCTTAAAAATATTATAGATCCGTCACTTATTAAAATACTTAAATTCAATTCGTTCTACATATATATTATTTAAACCTGATTTTAATTTGATTTTGTTTTCAGTTCAAATAATTACGAGTATTAATGTTGTTTACGCTCTTACCGGCCAGGATGATCATGTTTCCGAACCATTGAAAAACGGGTATAAATTTGAACCGGACCCGAATAAACACGTCTAATTAGACGCAAGGCCAAGGCGGAGTTTTCAGTCAAACGTAAAAAAGCCAAAATGATCGTTGAAAACAGTTACAATGAATATAAAAATGAAGAAGGAGCGTCCTTAGGACTGTTCTTTTGAGCTTTAGCTCTCTTTTTCAGATTTTTTTCTTCTCTTTATTGAGATGACTAGAGATTTTCTTTGATCACAAATCTGAATTCTCAGCATTTCAAAATGATGGAGGTATTTTTGTCCTTTTTTTACGAGCTATGTTTGATTAATGGATTAATTAGAACTTCTTTCTCCATTTATGATCCTTCTAAGATTAATAATTTAATGCAGTTCTTCTTCTTCTTCTTTTGTTGAAATTTTGGTGTTTAGATCTGTAGAAAATGAATTGCAATTTGTTCTTAGGTAAGGTTTGAATTATTCCTTTTAGTTGAATGTATAATCTTGAGAGAACCACAGTGGTAAAAAAATGAAAGCCGATTTTTGGATGTTAAATCGTCAGATCTCCAAATTCTTCAGCAATTGGAAATGAGTGGAAATATCCCTCTTTTCATTTTCCTTTCACTTTTCGTTTTACAATTAATTAGTATAATAACTAGAATTTGATTTGCCAGTTATGATTCTTTTCGTTGCCCAAATCGGCTTGCTTATATTGTTTTGGTGACTTGAACTTTAGAAAATTAATTGAGATTCGTTATACACCAAATTAAGCACAAAGAATGAGCTGAAAGATTAAAGAAATTGAAAATTTGTTCACATGTAGGGTTTTAATTTATTTTACATAGATTTTGCTGCATCATCTAGAAATATTTCTTAATTTTTGTTTAGTCTTTAAATAGTCAAAGAGATAGCTAAATATATTTCATAGATCGATCGACAGAGGGATTAAATTTGGCGATGGTCATTGTTTTCGGATGAAATCTGCGCATCGATATAAATTGTTTTCTGTCTTTGATTTTGTCTTAGAAGTTCAATCAATAGGTTTCTTTGTTTCTGAAAGGGTTTAAGACTTGGAAGACTTTTTGGTTGTCAAGTAGATTTGTTACCAAACCAGATACTTATATGTATGGTTGACATCATTTTTTTGTAGGCATCACCAAGTACAGATCCGCCTACAACCACGAATCCACCTGCAACCACAGACCCCCCTATAACTACGGACCCACAGGCAAGTACAGACCCTCCTGCAGGTGATGTAGAGAATGTGCCAGACAAGATCAAAGATGCAAAGAGGCAGGTCCTGCATTTCACTGTGATATTTGTGATGCAGAACTGCTTTTCAAGATAACTCAAGCGCTCCTCCCGGGGTTAGCTACGGCTTGTGTCGACAATACAACCGGTGGTGTTTTCACGTCCCGGGTTCAGTAGCTGCGGACTTGAGAAAAGAATTGGTGGAGTATCTTACACAAAGAAGTGAAACTTATGTGACCGAAACTGTGTCTTGGAAGGTGCTCCAGAGGTGGAAGTATTTGACAATCCTTACGATATCATTGCTTTTCTTATTGATGAGTTGCTGTTTCAAAGAGGAATTGTTTAGCGAGTTTCAGCATTGCTACTTAGCGAGGAGAGAAGACAGTATCGATGATTTGCTCACAGATGGAAATCAATGGGTTTTGGCCGGTCGACAAGAGAGAAGTGATTGTACAAACTTTGCTGAAGAATGTTGATGTCAAGAATATCACTGCAACATGAAATTTGAAACTGCAGAAGAACTTCGTTGCATATGCCAACTTGCAGCTTTAGAGTAATGACCTGTACAAGTGAAGGGTTGTGATGCTAGATTTCGGCTAATAAAGCAGAGAAGCACGATTCAGTTTGCCCTTCAAGATAATTCCATGTGAACAGAAGTGCCCAGATTTCCTCATGAGACGGGATATGGACAGACACTGCATAACCGTCTGTCCAATGAAGCTGGTGAATTGTCCTTTCTTTTCAGTGGGTTGTAAAGCAGCCGTACCTAGTTGTAAGATTGAAGAACATCAATCTGAAGAACTCCATTATCACATCCTTTATATTCTTCAAGGCATGTACAAGGAAGCATCTGTGGAGGTTTTAAAAGAACGGGTGGATCGTATTGAGGAGGTAAGTCAAGATGTGATTGGGAATTTCTTGCTCTAATACATATATTTCTAAGCATTGGATATCTTTCTTACTGTTTTTTAAGTCATTGAAAGAATCATCTTGATGAAGAACTTTAAAGAGTTTTTTTAACACTAAACTTTTATCACTTAAAATTTCTCACTAGAAAACAACCTTTATGATCCCAGTTTCTTGAACCAACCTATGTACTTACAATAGCCGAGCAACACTATGTGCAGATGAAAAATGTTAATGAAAGTTACATCAAAAGGTGCCTACAAGATTTAGGATATCAAGATCGATACGATATTTGAAGGAGTTACTAATGCATATACATCTTGCAGATTTTCTTTCACGTATTGGTCTATCGCTTTTCAATATATGCTTTATATAGACGGTGAATGCGCATCTACTTGTGGTCTTGATCTTGCAGAGTTCGTTGTTGCATATCACTGATTGTTCCCAAACCCCAAGTCTTGGTTATGGAAGTCAATTATCGCCATGCTGCTATGCTGGTCTTTATCTGCTTTTGTTTACACGTAGATGACAAATTTCTTATCTCTTTCAATCAAAGCTCTTACATTTACATTTTCATGGCAGAAAGCCGGTGCTAGGCTAGCAAATGCCAAAACTGTGCGATCTCTAACATCGAAAGTCAAGGATATCGACGCGAAGCTCCCACCCTGGTATTGAGACAAAGAAAAAGAGGAAGAAACTTCAGAGACAGAAGCAAAGCCTGAATCTACTGAAGTTAGTGGCGCAAATGAGAATTCTGATAATGCTGCCGAAACTAAAGAAGTCGTAAATTCCAGAGCATTGCCTCTATCAGAAGTTACTCCATCAAGCAAAGATAGTGAAGAAGCTAATAAAACTGAAACTAAGGATTCTGAAGCAATACCGCGGTCAGTAGAAGCGTCACCATTAAAGAGAGACGGTGAAAAAGTTTCTGAAACCGAAACCAAGGATCCTGAAGCAAAGCTGCCATCGCAAGAAGTTCCACCGTCAAATGAAGATAGTGAAGAAGCTTCGAAGACTGTTGTCGAGGATGGTGAAGCTCCTGAAGCAACAATGGAAAATTCTGTCAAGGGTTCGGAAATTAACACAAAGAATGAAACTAGTGAAGAATGAAGATGGTAAAAGGCACTTCATGCCATCTGACTTTAACCAGCCATAGACTTGAGATGAAGAAAGCTTCAGCCTCTACAATATATAGCTCTGTATGTGGTTTCCCCCCCAGTATTATTTCATTTTGGATTAATATTTTTTTACGCTTGATCTCTCTGTTAAAAATTTTATTTTTAGCACGTTGAGAGAGTGAGAGACTAAAGAGGACACTTGGTTATTCTAATCTCTTCCATAAGAAGAAATTTAGAAGATAAATAAAATTCGGATTTTCTTTTATGCTTTTAACTATTTATTTTACATGTGTGTGTTCTCCCATATAGTATCTCCTTTATTATATATTGGATTATTTTCTTCAATCAAAGAAAACTAAAATGAAGAATAATGGAATAATAACGATAATAATTTAAAAGCTCAAAAAAATCCCAGGGCCCTTGGATAGTGAGTACTGACATCCATAGATTAAAAATACAAAATCTGATGACCAAAGTTAAATGACCTAATTCTGAACTGTAAAAAAGTAACATAACCACAAATTGATCATTAACTCTAGCTGCCGGTTGAGACTGACCATGCGAGCTGAAGCATCCATCATACAACCTCTCATTCCGGAACCTTTCCTCGCAGAATACCCTTCGGTTTCTCGTGACTGGCCTGATCGATCTCTTGAATAACCGGCTTCAATAGACTGTCTTAATGCCAATGGTCCGCTACGGGAACTATACCCGGAATCCACGGGACCACTTTGTCCCTTGCCTTCCTTGAGTGAAGGAATACCAGTCCCGGTGGCATATTCCTGGTTATCTCCCTTGATCTTTGCTTTCATCATAAACCTCTTATGGCGTATAATAGATGAGGTCACCACGCCTGGGAGCAACCTTAGGTTTGGCAGTGGACTTTAAATTACCAGTATGCTCTAACTTCTCCTGGATGTTTTGAGCAAGGGCCAAAAACATATATGACAGTCATTCGACATACTCACGAGTATGCTGATCAATACAAGGAACCACAGCTTTAAAATGACATAAGATTCAAATATTTATACTTAAAGCTAAATTAATAAACTTTTACTTGTTAATAAAAAAGAGTATGCTGATCGGACGGTTTAAACATGCCAAAGCAACGACTTACTACTAATTAATAACCATGGGCCTCACGACCCTAAATCAGATAACGAAACGACTAAGATGGACAGGTTAAAAAAGCCCAATCCAATGGGTATAACCGTCTATCCAATACATGTCTATATATAAAACACCACTCTAGGGTTTATCAGACGTCCTCGTCCTTCAAACTCTCGAGAGAAAGCAGCCGCTCCCCTATCCATCTCCTCCTCGAGGTTCAATCATGTTAGTTCTTAATTCTTACGGTTTTTGTTATCGTTTTTTTTATTCAACATTAAATTTAGTTATTTTAAGGAATATAAATCTTGTTCCCGTTTAGCTATTTTAGAATATACAGGGAACCATTCTTTTTAATCTCTGATGTTCAAAATTTACGATCAATAATCTCTTTTTGAGGAGTAAATATATAAGATACGATCCCTTTATTTGCAGAATGGATAGCCAGATTAAGTTTGCTGTGGTGGTAAAAATTATGGGAAGGACCGGTTCCCGAGGTCAAGTGACTCAAGTGCGAGTCAAATTTTTGGATGACCAGAACCGATTTATCATGAGGAACGTGAAGGGACCGGTTCGTGAAGGAGATATTCTCACTTTGCTCGAGTCTGAGAGGGAAGCTAGGAGGCTTCGTTGATCGGGGTTTTTCCATTTAATTTTGGTTGAAGTTGGTCATTAGCTTGATTTTAATTGTCTACTGTGTTTTCATGTGTTATTTCTAATAGATGTTTTCGTATACAGAGACCTGCAATTTGGGAGAATTGTTGTTCTAGAAGCTTGATTTTATGATGTTGAGATGAACTGAATTTGTTTTGCGTTATATCATTTTGCGGTCTTGCTTTAATCTTTTAGTAGTAGTATTAAACTAATAATCTTGTTTAATTCAGCCCAAAACTCAGAATTTTTGGTTTAAATTCTTGATCAAAATAGTGTAGGTGTTGAGGTTCTTCTATTCAAAGAAAATACTTATTCTGTATGTTTTTGCTTGGGTTGTAGCATTGTTCTACTCTATGGTCATATTTTTTAATTAACTCTGAATTTAGGGTTTAAATTGAGAAATACATATATGTCAAATAAGTACGTTCAGTGTTTCTTTCGTTAAAATTAATACTTGAGATTAATTGTCATATTTTGCTATCAGGCTGAGTATTATAAAGTGTAATTCATTAAGATTAGAGATTAACTTTATGTTTAAATAAATCTGAACAAGCACCTTAAGCCTTTATGGATGTCAGAATGGTAAATTGTCCTCAAACAAGATATGTAATAAATCAAAATTTTAGAATAAATGTCAAATATTGATATTCACCAGTAATTTTAGAGCAAACTCTAAATATATTAATTTTGTCACTAAGATCTATTAAAACAACATTGCCGAGACCCAGTTTTATCAATTTACCATTTAACCAGCCATTGCTATTAAGGCCTATTATAAGGTTCACACTGTAACAACAGGATATTTTTAAAATAATATTTAATTGAAATTAGAAGTTTTAATTATGAAAATCGGTAAATTGTGGGGATTAAATTGAAAGATTTTAAAATTTAGAGCTTATTTTAGAGTTAAAGAAAATCCAGGGACCAAGCCCTGAATTTACCCAAGAAAATTAGGTATGTTAAAACAGAAAACCACACCTCAATTGCTCCCAAATTTCCTTCCCCTACGCCGATTTCCGATTTAGATCCCGACGCCGTCCGAATTCCGATCGTCATTTTGAAACCACCGTTGTGTTCATCATCGAGCGAGGAACAAACCCTTCAAATTAATTGAAGCGAAACACTGCCAAACGTCGGGAATTTCCAGTCAAAGTCTCGACGTTTTTGTTAGCTCTATCGCCGGGAAAATCTTAAATTCACCGCCGATCGTTGCTCCGTTTACGACACCTCCTGTACCATTGTGTTCCTTGTGTCGTTGCGAGTCCGCCGGTATCAACCTTGTTCGCCGTCGACGGCGGCGCGTGAGAAAACGTTTGACCAGTTCAAACCGGTCTAAACCGATTTGACCGATCTGACTCGACCCGACCCGATCGTTGACCCGACCCGACCGTTGACCATTGACTGTTGATCGTTGACCGTTGACTTCCTTTAACTAAAACTTAAAATGGTTTTGACCGACCATTAAACGACCGTTAATCTTTTTGAGTATACCTATTCTGATAGTGTTCGACGTCCCGAATCCGTTTCCGAAGTCTGTTTCGTCAAATTCGAACCTGAAGGCCTCCAAATCAACGGTCAAAGTAGTTGACTTTGACTTTGACCAAGAATTTAAATTTTTCGAAAAATCATACTTTATGTTTTTCAACGTCCTGTTTCCGCAATCCGTTTGGCCAAATTCAAACCCGAAATCCTCCAAATTGATAGTCAAACCCGAAATGCTTATAACTTAGAATTTTAGCTTTGAACATTAAGTAGGATTTTGGGGCTGATAAATTATTATTGTTTGAAGGTACAAGAGACTCTCTAGATCGTTCGACAGCTCGACCCAGCTCTTCTAGATCAGTTAAACCACGTATGCCAGTATTCACCCGTTCGAAAACTGTAGCAGAGCGTGGTGAAACCAGCAATCAGTAGATCTACTATTTGAACCTATATCGAGGTGTGTTCCCTAATTATTACTGAACTGTTTTATTGGTTTAATATGAGGTACACTGAGTTCTTGGTTACTGTTTTATTGATGCACCAATTTAATGTGATGATTTATGGAAATTGTGACACGGTGCAATTGAACTTTTGGATTGAATTACAATAGTATAGCTCTGATCAAGCTAATAAATATAATGGGCCTAATGTGACTCTTGGGGCCCCAAGATACATTAGGTTGGCTTCCCTTGCTGTGTGCTTAGGGTAAGCTATATGGACTTGGACTTACGGGCCTAAGGATACAAGCTCTAAAGCTTATCCTTAGGTTGGCTTTCTTTGTGCTGTGTGCTTAAAGTAAGCTATATGGAAAATAGTTTTGGGAACTACTGATGGTGTACAAGAAAAGGGTTTAAACTATGATTTTCAAAAGTTAAACTCTTTTATGAATTTATGAGATTTACTGGACTATGATTTGTTTAATGTACCTATTGTGATTTTAAGGTAATATTGGGACACACTGAGCCTAGCTCACTTTTCGAAAATGTTTTCCCCCTTTCAGATACTGTTGGTTAGATACATCGGTTCGAGCACTTGGAGGATCAACATATCTCTTGAAGTATATTTGATTGTAATGTTTTTATCATTCAGGTTGACTTTATTTTGGTGACATTAACCTTATTTTAAAGTATTAGATTTTATAGTGATTACACTTTTGCTATTAATATTCGGTTTATCGTGATTTTGATTTTTAAGACATGTTTTAAATTAATTTTTACTTATTGGTATTATATTTATGAGTTGGGTTTTGATAGTATAATATCATGTCATTTATAATGTGATTTTACAATGATTGAATAACGGTTTCAGAAAATGTCTTTAAGAATCATATATGTGATCCACTAGACTTAGTCGAAACGCATAGGCTGGGTCTAGGGGGTTACATTTATTGGTATCAGAGCTTTTGGTTTTTAACCCTCGGACTGTGTATGAGTCCATATTGAAAATACGGTTTTGAAATATTTTACAAAACAAGTTACAAAGGCCATGTCACAAAATTATTAAGATTTTTAAATTGTGTTCGAGACTCCAAGTGTTTATCTAACCCTAAGTTTTATCTTCTGTAGTAAACTTGAGATCCATCAAAATGAGTGCTAGATGTGGTCGTTGAACTAGCCGTGGACGAGGTCGAGTGGCTAGATTTACAGATCCGATTGATGAGATACGAGTAGATCCCCCACCTCCGATAGGTGATCCTGCTCCTACGACCCCAACGAATCTGCCTCTTGCCGCTGGTATTGGCATGACTACACCGATCATAGGAGCGACCGATATTGAGTCAGAGTCTACCGGAGTTGTTTTGGATGAGAATTTTGGTAGTCAATTTCTGCAGTTGATACATGGAGCAGTCAGAGCTACTGGTGTTGTATCAGAGGTTCCTATTTCGCAGACTTTGATTTCCAATGGAGTTAGAACTTTTGGGGGACAGATTGGTGGAGCTCCTACTGAAGCTGAGGATTGGCTCCAGGATACAGAGAGACGCATGAATCAGTTGGGTTTAGACTCAACTAAGAGATATTAGGGTGCTGTGGCGATGTTAGATAGCAATGCCTACACTTGGTGGGAATCAGTGACCAGTAGTGTTCCTACCGATCGTTTGACCTGGAATTTCTTTAAGGATCGCTTTCGGAGCCGTTTTCTGGGAGAGCGCTACTTAGCTCAGAGACATCAGTAGTTTCAAGACCTGGTTTAGGGAGACATGACTGTTTCTGAGTATGATATCGAGTTCTTGAAGTTGCTGAGGTATGGATTCAGTATGGTACCTACTGAGAGAGATCGATGTCATAAATTTGCCCTTGGACTCAGATACGAGCTGCGTAGGTAAGTTGTAACCCATCAGGATGAGATATTTGATGTGCTGGTGGGAAGAGCCAAAGATGCTGAAGAGGTTGAGGTTTTAGCTTCTAGTAGAGAGCGTGTTGAACAGGAACGATCTAAGAAATTTTCAGGCTCGATGGAGTCATCAGCACAGTCCGGAAAAAGGACTCGTACTTCAGTCCCTCAAAGAAGCAATACACGTTTCAGGCCTGCAGCATCCTCACCGTTAGTTGGCAGTCGAGGAGGTTCCTCGTCGTATTATCATGGGTTCCTCTGTGAGTTTTGTGGTAAACAACACATAGGAGAGTGTCGTAAGAAGATGGGTCTTTGCTATCAGTGTGGATCTAGTGGTCATTTTCGGAGGGATTGTCCTCAGCTAGCTTCGTTTGAGCAGACCGCTACCCAGACTCCTGTACGTTATCAGACTACAGTACAGACTCCAATTAGAGATCGTAGCCAAGTAAAGGCTCGTGGTTCAGCATCCAGGACTGACAGTAGAGCCCGACCTCAGCAAAATAGAGGGCTAACAGTTTCTGAGGCTAGACAGCCAGCTTTGGTTTATGCTACTAGACGTCAGGATGACAGAGATGAGCCGTAGGTTATTGCAGGTACATTTACTATTTATTCTATCCCATACTTTGCATTACTGGACAATGGCTCCACTCACTCCTATGTATCGAGCTCGGTATCTCGAAACCTTCAGATTCCGATCGAGAACACTGAAAATAATGTTACGGTTACGAGTCCAGTAGGACAAGCGGTATTAGTGAATAAAGTATTTCGGCGTTGTCCTCTCGAGGTTCAGGGAGAAATTTTTCTCACTGATCTTATGGAGCTTCCTTTAGAGGAGTTCGATCTAATTCTTGGGATGGATTGGTTGAATAAACACAAGGTAAATCTGGATTGCGAATACAAGCGGGCTACTCTAAAGACTTCAGATGGTCGGACTGTTATGTTAATTGGTGAACGGCGTGACTATCTCTCCAATATAGTTTCAGCGATGGAAATTGATCGTATGATCCGGAAGGGATATGAGACTCTCATTGCTTGTATTTTGAACACTAAAGGTTCATTGTCCACGATCGAAGAGATCCGTACAGTTAGCGAGTTTCCTGATGTCTTTCCAGAGGAGTTGTCTAGTTTACCTCCTGATAGAGAGGTAGAGTTCGAGATAAAGACTTATCCGGGATCTACACCTATTTTTATGGCACCTTATCGTATGGCTCAAAAAGAACTTAAGGAGTTGAAGGTCCAATTGCAAGAATTATTCGATCGAGGATTTATTCGGCATAGTACTTCACCATGGGGAGCTCCGGTTCTGTTCGTGAAAAAGAATGATGGGTCGCTAAGATTATGTATTGACT